CTGCTCCAAGATTGTGTGCGCCAGCTGATATAAACGAAGACAAAGTGGTTGTTAAATCTTTTAATAAATTCCATAATAATAACATCAATGACAAAATGATAATAATAACAACATCAATGATGAAATGATAAAAATACCCTGGATTTAAATTCTTTTAACCAAGAATTAGCTTCTCTCAGCCTCTGGTAGCGGCTCCTCGCCTCCAGAATACACTGAAAATAAATAAATAAAATATAAATAAAACCAAACAAAAATAGGTAGGTAATATATTTATAAAAAAAAAGAGGTTAATAAACCTGTTGAAGGCTCGCCTTGGTGGCGGATAACGTGGCTATCGTCTGGTTTTGTTCCATCCTTCTGTAACTTAATCACATCGTCATCGAATCACCAACAATGAATCTTCATTATATTCAATGAGAGGGTTTTAAAGAGAGAATTAATTAATCACGCCTTTTTCAGAGAGAGAATTGTATTACCACTTTCCTGTTGCTTCATCGGTCCCCAAAGACTGCCTCGTCTTTCCAAACTCCAGTAGAGAGGAGGGCGGAGGAAGGCGGAGGAGGAGGCAATTGGGCTCTCGTCACCGCTGATCAAAGTAGGCGGCGGAGGAGCATTCAGGAGCCGGCTTTTTCCTCCTCACCTCTCCTTTCATGTCAATTATCGCTTCTGTGTCTCGAGCCAGCACGGAAGAAATCGGGGTCATCGGATTCCGGGTCGATAGTTTTCTACAAGAGGAGATCCTCCGCCGCCTCGAGATCGTCGGCGGTGACTCTGAGACAAGAACGGAGCAATGAGCCGCCAATGTTTTGAATATGTTATGGTATGTTTTAAGCTCAGTGTATATAATTATTGGACGGATTTCGTCCTATCGACAACTGTCAAATGAACCTCTCGCAGAACGTGTCCTCCGCGATCTTTGTGTTGAAAGAAGGCAAGAAGAAATACAGTAAATAAAGAAAACTTTGCAATGAAAAATAATAAGAGAAAACACAAAATTAACGGAGGTTCGGGCAACTCTGCCCTACGTCCTCGGGAGCCACAAAAAATTCTTGAATATTAAAGAAGATTAACATAAGCTTGCAAGAGATGGTCCTCAATCTTCCTGAGATTTCTTTGTTCAAAAACAGTGTTCTCTGAAAAAAATCGCTAAAGAACTATCAATGAAAAACTGCGGCCAGGTTCCCTTATTTATAGGAAACCCTTATGTGAAAACAGATTAGGAATTTTTTTTGACTGTGAAGCTCGCCTGTTGCCGAAGCTCTCGCTAACTGCGAGTTCGATGGTCTGCGAAGCCACCTGTATGAATTATGTTTCGTCTGAACATAGGCCAAGTCACCTGTAACTGCTTCGCGCTGCACTTGGAGCTCGCCTGCCACATTGGAGTTTGCCCTAACCTTCAAAGCTCACACTGAATCTTCCAACTTCGCATGAACTTCCGAAAGCCTCGCCGTGAACTGTAGGTTCGCCTGAACTCACTTCGAGCTTCACGAAGTTTCAAGTTCGCCTGATTTCTTAACTTTAGAGAAATCTTTGCTTTTGCATATGCTGTCCTAAGGTTCGCGGCCACACCCCGAAAGCGGGGCGGACCACATAATATTTATTTAATTAATGGACGCCATATACAGAGTTGGATACTGTATTCTCAGTGGTATTTTAGTTTCTAATAATGTATTCCATTGTTTATGATGAATTCGGAAGTTACAAATTCCTAGTGAAATTAGGGGTGATGTCATAGGTTAAATCAATTGAAATCTAGGTATTATTATGACATAAGAGATACAGGATATCAACAACCAAACTGTACGTAGAGGCCTAGCACACTCGTGCAACGTGTCCTTGTCTTTATTTTCGTCCCTATACTTACTTGGGAGAAGATTTTGGGTGAAAAACACGTGGTGAGGAATTCAGTAATTTGCAAATGATATCTATATACTCATCATATTTTGTATAATGGAAGTGCGTGTACGTGGCAGCTTTTATTGTGTCCCCAGCGTTGATTTGTTAAACAATAATCTTATTGGAGGAGAAGAGAAGACATTGCGAGTTGGTATGATCATATTATTTTAGTCTTTCCTTGGACTTTTTAGCTCACAGGACTCAATGAAAGTAGGCAGTTCACCAATTCATCTACCCCGCGTTCAGAAAGGCTTGGTAAGTTGCAAACATTGCATACATAGTCATAGGGTGGGGGTGGGGTGGGGTGGGGGGGATCAAGCAGAAGAAAAACTTCTTATGTGCGCTTTAAAATACCACCATCTCTTATATTTGTATCAGTAGGTGCTACGAAGGATTTTTGTTTAATAGTTTAGTAGAAATTAAGCCTTAAATATAAAGTACAGATCAAACTAGTTTTGAATCTACTTTACATATATAAAGTAGAGGCTGAAATTAGTTCTAAAACTTATGAATTTTTTTTTTCAGAGAAACCATCTCATAACGGTAATTCTACAAAAAAATTATTTGATTTCAATTATACATAAATTAATTTTGAAGTGGGTTTTTGTTGAGAATTAACCACCTCCCAATTTTAACTTTTCACTAAAAACCCAAAAATAATCTAAAATTACGATCACTTTATGTGAGTTGTAACTAATAGATCTAAACATTAACAAAATAATAATGTGTCTTGAATGTTAGTTTTAGATGATATTTTAATTTTTTTAGTAAAATATTTTGACTGAGAGGTGTTTGATTACAACGCAAACCCATTAAAGGCTTGGCTTGGTAGGAGGGAAGGTAAGTCAAAGTGAAGGGTGATCTTCTTACCGGTTTAATCGCCCAAACAAAAATCTTCTGCGAGTTCTTAGAGAGGAAGGAGATGTGAGCAGAGTAGAGTGAGTTAAAGAGAAACGCAAAATAACTAGAAAGTAAAGAAAGTGAAAATCCCTTCAATTAGAAAGACACAAGATGATTGTGATAGAAAATGAAAAATGAAATGAAAAGTCATGTGCTTTTCCTCACTCCCTCTCCAACAAAAACAGGAACTACAAAAATATATCCTTCTTTGCACTCATTAAACCTTAGCTTACCTTAGCTTGCCTTCTTGTACCTCGTACGAAACCAAGCCTAAATGTAATTTGTATATAACTTGAAATTTAAATATGGTTTGAATAATTACTCTATTTTAAGGTAGTTTATGTAGGAAAACCCTATAAGTAAGTCCAATAGTTATTTTTTGGACAAATTTTGAAAACACCCATTTTTAAAATTTATAATAGTAAAATCAAATGTTTTCTGAAAAACAGCAAAAACCGGCCCTTTTCAGATGAAAATGGTCGGTTTTGCTGAGGAAGAGTTTTCCGAACTGCCACGGGACTAGTAGTCGTCGTGCAATTCGTTTTCTTTCAAAACTATCTGGCACTTTGAGATGGCAAGCGCGTCGAACTGTGGAACAAGATGAAGCTCTTGGGCGTCAAAAAGTTAAACAAGATCAAAACTGGGTGGGGGTGGGGGGGGGGTGGGGGGGGGGTCGAAGAGAAGGATCGGGCATTTGCGAAGAGAAGGCTCAGGCATTTGCCGCACCTGATCATCTGCCTAGCTAAGAATAGGGGCAGATCCCCTTATCCTTCCCGTACTTCCTCAGGTCCTCGCAGCGTGTACACCCCCCACGGCAGCATCACGCATCTCTCCCCCGCGCCCCCCCAATTGGTCACGCGCGTCATAGTTATCATAGAACGAGTACAGAGGGACCCCCCGAGTCGGTCCTTCGTGGCCGACCTGACCCAGGACGCGATCAGGTGCCTGCCGCCGAGTCAGCCGAGCCCCTGGTGGAGGCGGAGACCACCGACGGGGTTGGCGCAAAGGTTCTTGGCGGAGAGGAGACGCGAGGCGAGGGAGCGAAGGGTAGGGAGGGGCGAGGGCTAGGTGGAGGAGGCGGAGCTCTGCGAGAGTTTTCTCCATCTCGTGGACGTGCAGGAGCAGTAGAGGAGCTTGGTAGCACGGGTCATGGTGCAGTATTTAAAGGCAATGAAATGGTCCGGGACTGCTAGTCCCGTCCGTTTCATTTGAAAAATTATTCCGCTGCAAAAACCGACCACTTCATCTGAAAATATCGGTTTTGCTAAATTTTTTTTCAGAAAATGTCATTTTTGCTATATAAATTCTAAAAATGAGTGTTTTCAAAAATTTGTCCTTATTTTTTCTACAATTTACAATTCTAAACCCTAAAGTACACCTTACAATCAGAAATATTGCAATCAACGGCAATTCAGAATTCAAATAAACATCTTCCATATATCCAACTCATAAACCCCAATCTCCCAACATTTACAATTAAACCAACTATTCATTCCCCAAAAAAATACCCCCGCAAATACAAACTTAACCGTACAAAATACCAATAAATTAGTAAAAAATAAATAAAAGTGCATGGTCGTCATCTCAGCCGTTGGATCTTAAGCGACGACTTCACCCTCTGCAACTCTATCCTCCTCTTCCTCGCCTGCGCGTACGCCGCCGCCCGCTGCCTCTCCTCCCGCGCTGCTCCTCTCCGCCGCCTCCGCCGCTCCGAACTCCGGTCAGATCCAGTTGCCGCCGCTGCTGGTTGTGGCCCACACCGCCGAGGGCCTGCAGGCCCCACGGGAACAGATCCAGCTCGCCGCTTCGTCCCCCGCGACGACTGCAACCGCCGCTGCCTAAGATTGTGTGCGCCACTGATATAAACGAAGACAAAGTGGTTGTTAAATCTTTTAATAAATTCCATAATAATAACATCAATGACAAAATGATAATAAACAACATCAATGATGAAATGATAAAATACCCTGGCATTTAAATTCTTTTAACCAGAATTAGCTTCTCTCAGCCTCTGGTAGCGGCTCCTCGCCTCCAGAATACACTGAAAATAAATAAATAAAATATAAATAAAACCAAACAAAAATAGGTAGGAATATATTTAAAAAAGAGGTTAATAAACCTGTGAAGGCTCGCCTTGGTGGCGGATAACGTGGCTATCGTCTGGTTTTGCTCCTTCACCCACTGTAATTTAATTTTTTTAAATTAATATATATTATTAAAACTATAGAGATAGCAAGATGTACGCGGATCGTGATATTTCACCTCTTTATGCTGCCCGCTTTCTTCTTCAAGATCTTCGCCGTCGCCGGCGGCGGCGGAAGAGGAGGGGAGTCTCGTCACGCCGCTCGCCGGGACGAGAGCGGCAGTCGAAGGGCTCAACCTCTCGACTTTTGCTGTCTCTGGAAATGGATCGCCGCTTTGTTGAGCCCAGCGGGGAAGCTTACGCGTCACCGGGCGGTGACGGGACTCGGAGAGGGCGATGAGAGACTCGGCGGCTTGGATCTCGTCGTCGACGAAAGCCGTCCGCCATCTCGCTGTTTGGTGGAATGAGAAGGGGATTGGATTCTGGAGCTGGCTTCGGTTGGTTTTAGTTATATTGGGGAAATCCAGAAGGGGTCTGGGTTTCTGGACACGTGTCGACCTGGATGGAGATTGGGGCTTCTCTTTCCCATTTCTGATAGTTTCCATCTCTTTTTTATTTCTGATCAAAAAATTCTCAATGGCATAAGATATGGGATCAACAGTTGGATAGATGGAGTGTCTTCCTCTTTTTGCATAATGAGCGAATCATCATTAATAATAATCAGTTTATTATGCAATAGGAAAGAAACATCTTATTTGTCCGTCTGTTAGTCTCATATTTTGGGTTCACGTAACAAATCTCTTTCTGATCTGACGATGGTTTTATTTGTTTCTGTCTTCTTTAAGGCTAAGGGTTCATGAGATCTCGGGGATTTGCGGCGAGGGGAGGGGA